GCAAAAGGTGTGCTTGCAGTGAGGGCTTCTAATTTGATCCTATAGAGGTCATAGCAAAGAGTTCTGCTCAGCTGGAGTTAAAACTGTGTGGCGGGAGAGTGAAAAAACTGCTGTGTCTTTTTCAAAGATGAAAATGATTTGATGTGTGCACCCCAATGGTCAAAGTTTTCCTTCTAAAAGAAAAAAGCAGCTCTCTGAAAGAAAGCACTGTGAGGCCTGCTGACGAGTTGCCTGTGGTAGAGTCATTAAATGCAAGGCCAAGAGATCCCCTCCTCTTTTTTGTTGGACAGATTTGACCAGAAAGCCCTGTAGAGTCAATTCAGGCTACCAACAAAGTCTTTTCACCGGATTTCTGCAGGGTCTTGAAACAGCAACTTAGGGAAGAACAGGGCAAAACAAGGCAGGAGAAAAGAAGTCTGTGCAAGAACAGGGAAAGTGCAAGAACAGGATCAACAGCTTGTGATCAGGCCCCTATGTAGATGACCTGTAGCTTGCACTTTTCTGAGGCCAGAAACAGTCTCTTTGAGAAGGAGATAAAACTGTAAAACAAATGGCTTCCAGGCCTCATTTTTCTGCTAGAAACTGAGCCTTTGTATTAAGGGTGGGAAAATGCATGTTACTGGGTCCCTGGTAATTAAAAGTTACAAGAGCTCCCCCATGTGTTGCCACCAGAGAGGAAAAGGTTTGCTGCATCTTCATCTTTTAATGGCGTGGGTGCCCTTACTGCCTCTCATATCCTTGTAAATGCTGCCCCCCTGAAATCACTCAGGAGTGTCCATGGTTGGGAGCAACTTTCGTTCAGCCACACTGATCAACAGATACCTTCTTGATCAAGGCCATGGGCTCTCATGCGCTCTGAGGCCCCCCCGGTCCTAGAAACAAGACTAGGCCACAGGGCAAGGGAGCCAGGGAAGCTGGAATTGCCACTGCTCAGGAGAGCATCTAAAATGGTCGTCATGTAAGAAGAGGTGGTCCCAGTGGGCCCTGTAGTAGTTCTAGTAAATCGGGCACAAGACTTTGAATCAGCCTGATTTATTTGAACTAATAATTTGCCTAATCTTGACTCTGAGATGTCCCAAGGCAGCCTAAATATCTGAGTCTCATTAAAGCCGCGCAAGAATGTAAGGCCATCTTGCTGGTGAATTGCTTCTGAGACCTGAAGGAAGGAGAATAACCTTTGCTGATGTGCCCTCATGGTGTCTAGGAGAACTGGCTAATCTCTACTTAAAGTACTTTAAAAACAAAGCACCTTTACAAATATTACGTCACCAGCTCTTCACTTAGTGTCACCTGACGTGCATTTCTCAGCACTGCATTTTCTCCTGCCAAAAAATGTTTCTTTGGAAGTCACTGTTATGTCTCCTTCACATTCAGGTGCAAGGGCTGCTGTGGTGTGGGTGCAAAGTGTTGTGGGTGTGCAGATGATGATAGAAAACCATGTCTAAATCTATAAATCTGGGCATGGTGGGAAGCTGGTGAGTAATGTATATGCAATGTACGCAGGATCTTCACAGCTGATGAAGTTCCATTTTTCACTCAACAGCTGGGCAAGTTTTAAGCTCCTGCATCTTTTCCTATCTTCAGTTATCTGTATTCTTCTTGGAAGTTTGGCGTGGGATAGCAAAAATTGAAGGGTTTCTTGTATCTATAAATGCCTAACCACTATTTGTAAACACTCTCTCTGGGTTGTGGAAGGTTTGGGTTTGGTCTCTGGGTTGTGGAAGGTAATCTCTCCAAAGCCACAACGGAGTTTTCTACAGCTTGCTTGAAACATATGGTCCTTACCTGAATATCTGCCTCATGAGCCTTTTTAAAACCTTTCGAAAAACGAATTGCCTGTCCAATGTATGCGTGGGTGTATTTCCCTCACTTAAGTTTTTGAGCATGTCCTGAGAGCTTTGGAAAGTCCGGCAGCAGGTGCAGTTCTGTGTGCAAATGGCATTACTCAAAATCAATAAGACCATTTGTAGTAATGAAGGGCATCCTGTGACTCGCCGGTTTTGCGCTGTCACACGCCAAAACCAATTACATCAAACATACTGACAATCTGCAGACCTTGCAAGGAGTCTCATGTTTTATTTATGATGAGTGATGGTGAGCATCTGTGACTTTTTATGCTGTTCTGGCATTAAACTCCTTTAATATATTGAATGCCACCTTTTCTTGGAGATGGATGTTGTGCGAGAGATGAGTAATGGTAAATGTCACAGCCATCATAAACAACGTGGTTATAGTCCCATTTAATAACTTACCTGAGTCTTGAAAAAGGACATGTAAGTTTGGCAAATGCAATCAAGAGATCAGAGTTGCAGAGGGTATGTACTTTGTATTCATAGCTTTACTTAACTTACAATGACTGTAAGCTATGGCAGAAAATTGTCAGAAGACTAAACCGAATGAAGAGAAATCTGCACTGTGAGTAAAATAAGTGGATTAAGGGAAGAACAGTCTCCATTCAAGCTGTTCTTTGGTACTGTTATCTGTACGTGCATTCTCATCATTGTAAAGCAGGTCTGCATGTAAACTGAGATCTTAGGTCATCTTAACGCTAAGTTTTGAATTCAGTCCCTGCCCTTGCACAACTTGTTTGTCTTCTACATTGAAACAAATCAAACTCAAGCTGCTGGATACTAATTTTCTCTATTCTGCAAGACATGTTTCCCCAGAATGAAGTAGTTATATAAAATATTTGAATAAAAAGCTTTCAGGAAAAGAAGTGTTCAAAGATGCACAGTCCACTAGGGTGAAAATTTCACAGCAATTGACTCAAAGCAGGATTAGAATTAGTAGGGATGCAGAATTAGTGTCGTCTTTGTTGGTTTTTAATACATTCATCTTAAATATCTTATGTCCTCTGTTTTACCCTGAAAATTAGGACATGGAGAGACATCTGTTAGCAAAATGGCTTCACGTTTCTGTGCTTTAACTGAGATGGTCTCTCTGTGGAGCTGTTCCATGGGGGAGGGGAGTCTTCTGGATAATGAAGGTCTGGTGAGCTCAGCTGGACTTGCTGGTCTCATAGTGACTACAGCTATTTGCTCCTCCATGGAGGCAGACAGGTGCAGACTGATGATCTAAACCCAACAGGGGCTGGCTGAGAGTCTCTTAAGTCACTTGGAGATAAATGAGCTGCTGCCCCATCCTCAGGCTGGTGCACCAGTTACCTGTCTGCAGCAGGGCTGGCCTCCTGGCAGTCAGCTCCAGGTTACCCTGCAACCCGTGTGAGTTCCCTGGCATCTTGGAAGACTGGGCCTGTGACCGTTTTATTCCTCTTTCTGAGGACTTTGCAGAGGGTTGCCTTGCCAGAGGGCCTCCTGCTGCATCAGAGCAGGGAGCATGCGTGCCCAGGTGAGCAAAAGGGCAGGGCTCACAGCAGCCGTTCCCCTGGTTATTTACAGACCCAAATGTGGGTTCTTGCCTCTCAAGGCACAGAGGGGCCACAGGCAGCAGAGCGGAGCCCCAGGCAAACCCTGTGCTGAACAGCTGAAGGTCCCAAAGCTGCGGCTAGGCAATCGCAGCCTTCTCCAGTGCCCTAGCAAAGGTCTGGCTCCCGGCAAAGAGCTGGGAAGATAAAGGTGGTAATTTTGTGGCTTGAGCACTCATGTAAATCAAGGCAAGTTTGGAAGAACTCTTCGCTCGTGTCTCCACATGAGAAGGATAATGTTAATGAGGCTTGTTCAAAACACTTAATGAGATGTTTTAAAGTATTATGTAACTGATAAAATACTTCCTGTAAGGTTCATGTAATCATTTCTATCTAATCGGAGTCTTAATAGTCTCATTTGGCTTATGTTATCTCATGCATCTTTTGAGAGACAGGAATATATACATGGGGATGTATGTGTGTGTGCACAACATCAAGAAAAAGCCTTTAGTTCAAAAGAGCCGCATCTGGGTAATGAATCTCAGCCAGACAAAGCCAAAAAAGCACAACCAGAATCAAAATTGCCTTGCCCTCCCCACAAGCTGACAGATCCTGATGTATTTCACTAAGACTCTTTTTTTCTCACCCTCTCATCTATGAAGTCCAGTGATCTATTTCATCTGCTGCAAATAAAGGACTCTTGAAAGATGTTCTCTTAAATTTATTTTCTCAACCCTGGGGGCATACAATTACCGCTGCTCACTCGTGCTTTTTGTGTTTCGATGTTGAGAGGATGCATGTGTGTGTGTTGCTTCTGCAGCGTGCCCAGGAGAAGCTCAGGGGTGACCAGAGCCCCCCTCATGCAGCCTCGGCTCAGCCCTCACGGGACCCTTCGCAACGCAGCCCTTACTGCGGTGCTCACAGGAGGGAGCAGCATCTTTGTTAGCTGCTGCCTGATGCATGTGCTTCCTCCCACATACTGCTCTGTACTCGGGGACATGGCAGGAAAAGCATCAGGAAGGGGAGCAGGACAGCCTGCTCGTGCCTCCAACCAAGACCTTTGGGGAGCGGGTGATCAGCACGAGTCAGCTTCTAGGACTTGAAAGATAAAACATTTCCTAGATGGGGCAGGGCAGGAGCATAGCTTAGGCTGTGGTTCAGAAAGGCCCCTGAGTGGCCTCTGCTTTCTGTACGTTGGCTCAAAGCACTAGGTTGCTTCGGCAGGCCCCGGATTTGTCCAGGGACCCCTCTCCAAAGCTGCCCGTCTGTGTTTGCTGCACTCGATTCCTTGTGTCACGGCAGAGGAAGGGAAGCGGCTGTTGCCACATGTTTGGCAGCACAGGGATGTCAACCTGTTAACAGCCCCTTGCTGTTTCCATTTGCTCTGTGCGGGATGAAAACACTGGAACCAAATGCATTTTAATATGAGTGGGGCTCAAGAGACTGACGCAAAGCCTTCTTAAAAATTCCTCTCAAAGTGTCTGCTTTATTACAGATTATAGCACCATCTTCACGTTTGGTGATTTGGTACCTTCTTGCACAGTACGTGGGCAGAGAGGTTGCCCGCTTAGCACTTAAAATCCAGTGCCTGTCCCTTGCTGAAGCCACTGTCTCAGGCAGGGTCCCCCAGGTGACCTTACACTAAGGTGGCCAGAGCATGGAGGCTGTGGCCCCCCTCAGGGCTCCTGCGGCCTGTGGGGTGCTCTCGGAGGCCGCTCTGGGGGTGGCCCCAGGCCTCGCCGGGGCGGTTCCGGAAGGCGCGGACAGCGCGGAGGGCGAGCACGCACAGCACCAAGCTGGCGCAGTAGAGGCAGGGGGCCGCGACCCCAAAGAGGGCGACGGCCGCATCGCCGCCCTGCACAGTGCAGCTCATGGAGGTGTAGCCCCGGCGCGCGTACAGCCGCTCGCGCCGCTGGCACACCTCCGTGGAGTTCACCTGCATGATGAAGTGCAAGTAGAGGCCGACTGCCGCCACATACCCAGCGCCCGCCAGCAGGGTGACCGCACACTCGGTCGAGCAGCCCCACCGTGAGGCGCTCGATGGGCTTTGCCCCCGCAACAAGGAAGAGGAGGGTGAGGGAGGCAGTGGTTAAGCTGAAGGCAACGCCACCGTACACGCATGGGGCTCTCATCTGTGTGAACTGCATGTCCAGCTCTCTGACCTCCTGCAGCTCGGTCCCCTCAAAGGGGCTGTAGGCTGAGTTCAGGTTGAAGGAGCCAAGGCCCAAGCCCCCGATGGATGTGAAGCCTGCGACAGAGGCTTGGGCAGCGCCCACGCAGACCAGCACCAGCAGGTTAACGGTGATTTCCACGAACTTCAAGATGCCTGGAAGGAGAACGGGCATCAAAAATCACACCCTGCGCAAAGCCGGGGCAAGAAAGGTGACAAAGAGCAAAACACAAACTGTTACCAAAATAGTGTTCTCAGCTATAGCTGTAACAGAACCTTCCATTAAAAAAGAAGCATGAGCTCTCATGGGTACTTTTTAAAGGTTGGGCAAATTACTTTTTTTTAATTTGTCAGTGTGCTTGATAAATGGATCTCCATAAGGGGGGAAAAAAAAATCCATAAAAATTTTACTGTGCTTGTGGTGTTGCCAAGGAAAGCGAACAGTGATTGTATTTTGGCCTGTAACTACTTGGCATAAATACACTGAGCAAGAAATAGCTGGTATGAACAAAATGCTGAGGTTAAGGCTGATAAAAACCTAGAAGCTTCTAAAGCTGAAAAACTGTGCAAGTTAGTTAAGTCCTTAAAAGTGTGTTACTGCTTTAACTTACACATCTGTTTTCATGTATTTTTATGTTCTTGTTAACTTAAACCACTTATCTAAGCAGATACAACTTTCACTTCATCTCCTTCAGAGAAAAATCTCAAGAAGCAGTTACTTCCAGGAAAAGAAAAGGGGGGAAGAACGGGGTGAAAAACATGCTGTGCATGGAGGTAAGTTAAGAGAATTTCATATGCCTTTATTCATTTGCTTACCCATGCCCATTTTGAGAAGAAAAAGCCTTACAGTGTCTGAGCCAACTCTTCTTTTCTTACGTTATGCTATGGATAAGTGAGGTTTAAAAAAAACTGGATAAACGACATCTTTTCTTAGTAGCCGCGTGTCAGGCAGGAGCAGCAGGGATTATAGATATAACTGATTATTCTGTGAAAGCTCACTAGGGGTCGGACTAAGATTAGCAAACATGACCGGTGTGGAAGTTTTGCACTTCTAGAGTTGCCTATTTGGGAAATGAAAGCCCCTAGCGCATCACGTGTCCTGATGTGAGTTACTGACTCGTGAGCCTGATCCCCTGCGGTCTGGCAGACGAGGATGCAGGGCAGAAGGGGCCAAGCTCATCTGTTTGTCTCTACGTGGGGCAGGAGCTGCGCCTTGCACACAGACCTCCATTTTCTGCTGCTCCGGTAGGTCAGCACGGCACTTCCCGAAGGGCCAAAGGCTCCGCTGCTACCCAGCCTGCACGGGCTTGGAAAGAAAGGGCTGAAGCTGCACACGAGGAAGAGAAAAAATTCTTCCCTCACGCTGCTGGATGCTTACGACTGAAGAAAGTCTGAGAGCACCACCATGAACGCTTCTCGACTGCTCCTGTCTGCCCCATGGGGCTGAGGTGGGACCTGCTCCATGTTCCTCACCACAAGGCAGGGGTGATGCTCTCACCTCCGGCAGCTGCAGGGGATCTGGCCTCTCCCTGCACCCATGCTGGGCCTTTCCTGGTGCCCATGGAGCAGCTGGCAGGTACTGCAGCCACCCACAGCCACTGCAGCCACCTCCAGCCCTGCCCTGTGTGCAGAGGGGAGCAGTGACAGCAGTGGGAGGAGCTGAGGCTCAGCATGTAGCACTGGTGCAGCTCCACATATGTTTTCTTCAGAGGTGACCCTGACTGCTGCATGGTTACATGGGCTCACTATGTATGAACACAACTATTTTTGAGAAGCTGTTCAACAACCGCACTGTGGTTTTGCTTCAAATGAAGTATTTGTGAAGCTTAATGAAAGAAGAAACTCAAACCTTGGTCTATAAGACAGGATTCAGGGTTTCTTGAATTAAAATCTGCAGTAAGTGCAGTAAGGAGATTCAGAGTCTCCATATGGAGTCACTGCATGGAGTCATCACTTAATCCAGGCTGTTCAAAGCATTTTGGAAGTGCAGTGCAGGAGCCTGACTGCAACTGGATGGGCTATCTGCTGTCTACACCATCTGTGCTTCCAAACCGAGGAACCTCTCTTCAGACCCCAGGGCCCTTGGGCAGTGCTCTTTAAGGGCAGCTGCCTACTGACTTAATAGATGCTCCCTCAGAGAGTAGTTCTGGGGCCACTTACAGGGAGGAAAGACTGTTTAATGAAAACCTTTTAAGCCTATTAAGGTTTTTAATCTGTTTAGGGAGTTGAAAGATGAGAACTCAGGTAGCTTTTCCCTCCTCTCTCCTGAGAGCCTCCTTGTGGTCTGTGACTTTTTAGCGTGCCGCTCTGCCCCATGAGTGTCTGCTTTTGCTCTGCCTTGCCTTGCTGAGCTTCAGAAAAGGCAATTCTTCTGTTTGTCAGCCTGGCTGGTGCCTGCTGCTAACCTCCCCGTGTTTGCAACAATGTGACAATAACTGACCCCACTCCTCAGTGACTCCCTTCCACAACTTCCTAGGTATTCACACAAGACGTGTGTGCAAGCTCTACATGTCACAGAGTTGACTGACTGCTGGTAATGAGAGAGCAGGTCTTTCGGAATGTGTCTCTTTGATAGGATGTGAAAAATGATTGGTGTGGGTCTACTGTATTTTTTAACTGAAGATGTAGATACTTTATAGCATGCTTTAAAGAAATCCTTGAGACAGGGAATTCGGGTTGGACAGGCTTTATAGGTCCCTGAGCATTTCTGCACAAGCCAGCTCTGCAGTTGATTAGGGTGCCTAACAACAGCGAGCTGCATTAGCAGATACCCTACCTGTGATTTGCAACATGTAGACTGACTACCAAAGAATGTACAAAAACTATGAGACTCATATTAAAGCAAATCCCCAAATGCTGAACACTGTGTCAGCCAATGCAGGCAGCTGTGAATGACAAGCCTACCATGAGAGCCAGCAGGGCCTGTGACAGCAGCAATGGCAATCTTGAAGCTCCTGGGCAAGCATTAGGCTTGGGACTGAAATATGAAGCCCCTCGATATGTTCAAATCTTGACCTAGGCAGCCCAAAAGCCTTGCCTGAGCTTGGTCTGTGTTAGTGAAAACCTGACCTACATCTCCCGTACTAGCACAAACACTGGGCTAGACAGACTGAAGGAAGGAATAAAAGGAGAATAACCAAATCTTGAATCTGACCTCTGCCAAGGCTTGCTAACTGCTCTGCTCCAGCAGGGCTGCGTTCAGATATGTGCTGCTGGACCTGCACTGCTCTTCCTGCTTTACAGGCTGGTCCACTGCTTCGTCTTAAGAACTACAGCTGCAAAATCTATTCTGCCAAAAGCTTCCTCCCAAGCAGAAGTCTTTTATTCATGTTTACAACTATTCCCTAATCCCATGCAGCAATGATGGCTGTGTTGCAAGACTTGAGTATAAAATGACGGGTCTGGAAATCTCAGAATTCCATCAGATTGTGTGCACCTCCTCCCCAACCTTGTCATGTTCAAAAGCTTATGATACATCTCAAATCATAATTATTTGTACTAAATTAATGTAGTGAATGGGGAACAAACCCTCTCCATCCTAGCAAGTGCTAATGCTCAGGATTGCCTCCCTGCATTCCCTTTTCCTTTCCGACGCTTCTTTCCTACACAGCTTTTCAGCACTGAAGGTGAAAAGTGCTGATGCAAACAGGAAAGTGGACGTTGTTGCCAGAGTTGCCTCATTCATTTTATAAAAATCCAAATTTCCACAGGTTGATTACTTACTTAGATGTGTCACACACATTGACTTTACTGGAATCCAAACCTTGGTCCTCCCTATTTATACCATTTATTATCGAGCATCTTTCTTTTCTTTCTGGTGCAGTGTGCATGCTTTCCTATTGCCACGGCACTAATCCATGGATCAACGGTTTCATCTTCTCTCCAAGGGCAGGCTCAAACATGCCGCAAAGCAACATGAGGCTGCAAGGACAGGGCTCTACGAGCAGCTGAGCTTAATCTAAGGGCTCCTACTCTTGACTTCTTCCCCTGACTAGTAATCACACTGGCCTAACATCAGACCATTCCATGAGACATTATTAACTAAAAGAGCATGAATGTATTCAACTCTCTTTTGTGTGCTGTTTTTTTTCCTGCAGCTTTAGCAAGTTGAAAAGTGAGTCACCGAAGGATCTGATGAGCAACAGTGCTGGCATGAGACTAGCAGGGGAGATCACAACCAGGACCAGAAACTCCCCTCACCACAAAAGGCAAGCTGTCAAATCTAATCTACACACCCTGCTTTGTAAAGCCACGCTGGGGGTGACTGTGTGGAAACCACTAGTGCAATCGTGAGCTCATGTCCTGGCTGTTGGAGGCCCTGACGAGGCATCTTCACCCAGGCACTGTAGCAGGATGTCCCAGATGTTTGGGCAGCAGGAGCTGAGTGAGGGTACGTGCATGAGGTGAAGTAGGCAACTCAGGCTTACTCCTGTGTCTCTGCAGCTGGCAAGAAAGTCTGGGACTGTGCCTGCCTGATAGATGGGGCCCTTCAGTGTGTCCCCCTCCCCTGTGCCTTGGCCTTGCCTCAGGAACGGAGGCTACTGACTGATGATCACTCACCCAGACTTTCTCACTAAAAGATTTTTTTTCCCAGTTTGGGCAGCTTTCTCTTTTTTACTGATTTTTTTTCTTCCAAAGGAACAGAGACGTATTTGACCATGTATAGTGACTTACAAAAGCAGGATGCAGTTCTGAAAAGGGTCCCATCTGCAGAATTTCTCTTGCCAGTGCAAGTTTTGCAGGCCCCAGAGAGTAAAGGTAGAGCTCAACGCACAGCTTCAGCTGCTGCTGTGCTAGACTGAGCTGGGAGGAGAAGGAATAGGATGGGGGGAGAAAAAGCGTCACAGGAAGAAGTTCTGCTTCTAGAAGGGGACAAAAACGTGCCAGAAGTAGGGAGGACCCAAAACAATGGAGAAGAACTAAACAAGGGAAATGAAGTGGAGACAGCAGTCACAATGGATTAAAAAGCATTAAATCTGGATGCAAAGTACTACAATAAGGAGTTTTGCTAACGGTTTTACTCCCCTAACATATACAGACACAAAGTCCTACTCTTATTAAAAGCAATAACAAGAATTTGGCCAACTTCAGTGACGCAGGATCAGGGCAACAGACAACTTTGTATTATACAAACAACTCCCCCTTCCCCAACCTCC